TGTAAGTAAGCTCAAATCCTTCATCATCACAGCAGTTAGTAAAAAACAGACTGGATTCTGAACAACTGAGAAACAATGTGAGAAGATAACATGTTCCTTTAAAGGGAAACAGTTAATAATAACTCAAGCTGTGTATTTTTCCCTAGCCTATGTTGTTTCAGCATAAAGTACACATCCACGTATGTTGAGCAAATCACAAGTGTTTTAATTTTACTCATCCTTCTGGAACATTGAAACCAAGAACTCTCACTTTCCTGGGGCCAGGATTTAATTCCAGCTTTCATTGCCTGAGGGTGGGTAAGGAAGGTATTAGTTACTGAAGCATCGAAAGTAAATACTGTATTGATTTAAATTTGGGAAGATCAGTCATATAAGAAATATCCAAAGTCACTAAGAAAAGAAATGCTTTTATTTCAGGGCTGTATGTTTGATTATGCTACCTTCCAAAACTCATGTGGTGAATGTATTGCTCTGTGTTTGCTAACCCACTCAAAGGATGGCCATTAGGAACACTGAGGATTATCTTGTGCTTCACGTGAGTCTTCTCGACAATTCAGGGAAATGAACAAACTGATAAAGAAACTCTAAGCACTTAGGGCTGCCATAGAAATTTAGCCTTGGATAGTGGCTCAATAGAAAATTGAGCTTAGAAAATTGAGAAAATAGAACTCTCTTCTACCTGCATTAAATTTGGAAGTGCTGGCATCAGCTGGAGAATAATCTAATGATGTGTTAAGGGTAAAATGACTCCAGAGATTGCTAGGTCAGGAGAGAGAAGAAAGATGTTCAGGGACTGGGGAGGTGAAGAAATAAAAACCAGGAAAAGTCAAGAACAAAAGTGAATTGGAAGAGAAGACAACCGGAAATAAAGTAGTGGCCATGGCAGCAATAATGGCTGTTGAAATTTGTGAGGAAATGTAGCAAATGATGTAATGGCTAGCAGAAGATAATCCTTTAATTTTCTTTAGTCTACAGCAGCCATGTCCAACCTGGTGCACTCTAAACGACAATTTGGGGAAGCTGAGAGTTGTTGTCTAATATAATTGGAGGGCATCAGGTTAGAGAAGGCTGGTTCATAGCATGGGCCATGACCCATGCTTACACATTTAAAATATTTTATTAATTAAGCCACAAACTGAAATATTGTAGAGAATGTTTCTAGTTATGCTTTCACCAAAAACCTGGAACATGTGTCTTTCATTCTGCTGTCCTCTACTCCAGGGTTTCTCAACTGTAGCAACTTTAAGATGGGTGGACTTCAAGTCCCAGAATTCCCCAACCAGCATGCTGG